ATGTCTCAGAAGTCAGATAACAGTGAAATTAAATGAGCAGCACTGCCCTCAGTGTCTTCTTGCCTTCCCCGGGCCTCTAAACTTCTTGTGTTTAAGACTGAACAATGAATAAGTGAACATGGAAAGACTTTTGAGCCCTTGCTTTGCCACCAGCCTGCCCCTGAGGGCTCTTCCTACTGGAAACAGGAGCTCCCTGCCAGTGAAGCTTGAGATGAGCTTCCATTTCCCTAAGGAGACACATCTGTCTCATGCAATTCTGATGTGATACATAGGTAGAACCCTTATAAAGGTCTGTTTTGCAGTCTGTACTTTAAAACTCTAACATTTTATCACTATCAGCATACTTTGAAAAAATAGTTACAATTATTGGCATACAGACTTAAAATTTTTAGCCTTCTGGTTCTGGAAGAATATTTAGAAAAGCTCTCAGCTGCTCTTGTTACCAACACAGCAGCTATGAATGTTATTTAAGCAGCATTGTATATAAGAGTTGGTATGTTCCTTAGTAAGCAAATAGGAAATGCAAGCCTTTAATTATGTATAAAGATTCAGGACTGAAAGACCTATAGCTACATCTAGAAAAAAGCTGAGACCCACATTCCCTTCTCTTCCAAATGTGTCATATGAATAGAAATATTAAAAAAACTCCAACCCAAACCAACCAGATCCTATTAGTAGGATCCCACAATCTCAGGATATTTTCTGGGTATGAATTTAAGGATGTGTAGTGGTTCTTGTTTCATTCAAAGATAATGTGCTCCATAAATGACTTAATATAACATGTGTCGGCTGTTTTTATTATTATTAGGTCTCTTATTCCCTCAGTTTTGTATGATGGCAATTCCTAAACCTTACTACAACAAATACCTCTTGTAGCATTGGAGAATCCCAGGACACTATGCTTTGAATAGTTCATAATAGTAAATTTTTGAAATAGCGACTTTTTGAAATCACTCCATATTTTTAATAACTCCAAAGCTTTCATTAAAAAGAATTATAAAAGCAACTATTGATGTAAGAGTGGTGCACTGACACAGAGACTTGGAAAAATACCTTGCACTTCGCATGTATTAAATCTACTTTTTCAGATCTGTTGAACATATTAAACCATTTTTACTATAGAAGGGAAAATAATCCCTGAATGTGGTCTTACTATAACTGGAGAACTAATGAATTATTTGAAATCAGTGAGAGAGATGCACTTGACATAATGTTCATTGTATTTTCTTCACTTTTATTTCCTCTGTTTCAAAATCATGATTTCTTTTCTTCTCAACAACTTGATAAGGAATGGGGAGTAAAGCACAGTGGAAATTTTAATACAGGCTACAGACTGAAAAACTTGCTAGGAGGGTCGGGGTATTTTTACAGTATTGTCTTTTTCATTCCATGAATGAAGCAAAGAAAGACTTAGTACTAGATGCAGAGAATGTAAGGGTGAAATCATGGATTTCTTCCAGTGACTAGGAGTACTGATAGACATTGCTTTCTGCCAACAGATAACTTGAGTCTTTAGTGCCTGGTAAAGATTTATCTATTTATTCTGAAACTACAAAATAAGCTGCTATAAATTTGAAAATGAAATGATGACTTTTTTTGCTAAGTGTCCTCATTTTGATAGTTTTTCCACCTGCTGCAGTACTAGCAAATCATGAAGCAAAACATTAAATATTCAGTCCAAATACCAATATTTAGTGTTGATTTTCTTCCAATTTTAATGCAGCTGGAAGCTGATAATGAAGTCCAAGCTAAGCTCTAATGTTACTGGTGTAATAAAAATGATCATTTTCTTTGCAGCAACAATTAATGGCAGTTTTAAAAGTATTTTTAGAAATAAAAAAAAATGAGCCAATTTGGCTTAGGTATGTTTGTACCAACTTTATGATTCCAGTAAGTCTGCAAGCCTGTAAACGGAGGAGCAGAGTTTCAACAAAATTCACATTTTATTTTGAAAGAAAATTCATCTCATGGTGTAAATGTTCTCAACTGATAGGGGATCTTGTTGAGATAAATAACCGTGGCCATTCAGTAACAATCAAAGATAAGGAGAAAGCAGTATTGGAAACATATTACAGAAAGATACTTGATGGTAATGTATTTTTGCAGGCACAAAACAAGTCTTTAACTGAAGATAGATGTGATTGTAAATAGGTAGTTATAGCTTCAATTGTAGGTACGCTATACTCCTGGCTGCAGTAGAAACCTATTGTAAGATACAGCTTGACAACTTTAATTTTTGTTTTACTTATATATGCCTATTCTTCATTTCTTTTCTAAAAATATGGAGTACTGATGCCAATAAAAAGAGGTGGATTAACAGGCAGCGATAAGAATGTGAATGGTTTTCAAAGCAGCAGACAGAAAAGAAAGGGGATTTTGGGAATAAAGATAACATGAGTTGGAATGTATTCCCTATACAACACAAAAACTGGTATGGGAAAAAGAGTAAGAAGTTGCAACTAAATATCAAACCTATTCAGAGTCACAAAAATGTATATGTAGAGTTGACTAAAATTTTCAATGGAGTTTTATGCCTTCGCTTTCTTCTCATAAAGTTTTTTATTCCACAAGCTTCAAATTTCCAAAGAAAAAAATAAATTCCATGCCAATCATGGAGAAGGTAGAGGGAAAACTGATAAAGCCTGCAGAGTAATTATCTTTTCCAGATTAATTCCATAAGCATTGCAAAAAATGAGAAAGCATTTTCAGCCAGATGAGAATGCTTACTCTGCCCAAACTCTGTGCCTCTGAACAGCTTTTGTTGCAGTTTCTGGTATCACAGATTTCCTCTTTTCTAGAGAAAGGAAATTGAAGGAAAATGGAAAGTTCATAAAGGTAGACCCATAGGGAAGATAGGAAAATGTCATATATTTGCATCTCATAAGGGATTGATCTGGTGGAATAAATGATGAAACTGAAAGCCATCTAACTGCTTAGTCTTTTCCATTGTTCCTTACTGCTCCTTACTGTTAGCTCAGATTCAATATTTGTAAGTGATTTTTTCCACAATCCAGAATTTCTAGTGTTATGACCATGTTTCTGTTAGAAACGAAATATATATCCAAAATTACATCTGTTATTCTGTACTGCAGACATGAACTGCACTCACAACAGGCCATCTTCATTAGAGCAGTCCTGGGTTGTATAACATTCTTAATAAAATTACTCGTATTTTCAATAAAGATATAATCACTTATTCAAATAAATACCATGTAAAGGCAGCTGCTTGCTCACTGAATGGTCTCCAGGACTAAAAGAGCTGGATTGATGTTGGACAGATCTCAGCAGCAGCTGTGAGGTGAAAAGAGAATGACCCATATGTAATGCAGTTTTCTGTGAAGAACCGAAGGAGCACAGAAAATGCTCTCCGTGCGCCATCCTTCTCCCTCTTCAAGTGCATGGTGCAGATTCTCTGACAAATGGGCATCTGAAAAAGGCATTGTCAAGGGACTTTGTTACAAGGGCAGCAGTCTGCTTTCTGCTTGAGGGAAGGAAACCCTGTGTGATGAGTGCCTTTCTGCACATAAATTAGTACAACACTCCCAGAACCTTAGTGCTGAGTGACCACAAAGATGAACAACCAGATGAAAAGTGTGCTCTAGTCAATGCAAATCTGAAAAAACTCAGTATATATCAAAGGAACTATTTATTTCAGTTTCATTCCAATATTGGCAACAGTACAACCTGCTCTTATGCAATTAGGCTTTGTAAATTAGAATGCTCATAAAAAAATTGAGCATATGACTTTGTCATCAACAATATAGAATGATGCAGAATGATGGTTTTTATATCAGATACCTTTTTGTTATTGGTTTCTCCGCGTAATTAATTGTCATATTCAGATGTATAGAGTAAGGAACTTCCCAAATCAGGTGTGAGTACAGATGCAAAATCTTCATTTTGCATCAGAAGAGTCATCTGAAGATGGCATTTTCACACAATGTTGATTATCCCCCAAACCATAACAATGCATAGTTCTTAAATATGTTTTAAAACAATGACAATGAAAACAATCATGGTCAGTCAGAGCACTGAAGTTATAAAGCCACTGATCAGTATTTACAAAAGGCCATGTTCAACCCGTGTGACAGTGTAATTGCCACCAGCAGTGATGAACAGAAGCAAAATCTAATGCTTACATTAAAAAAATCTACTATTTGTAAGAATAATGTTTAAATGTTCACACCAATCTTTTTAGAATGTTCAGTGTTTATGTTACTGCCTGAAATTAAACTTTTTTCCTAATAAAATTCTAATTAAAAGGTATGTTTACAGAAAACAGCAAGTGTGTTGGTATTTCTTTTACTGTAATAAACATGCTAGCAAAGCATCACAGTCATAGTTTGAAAGTAAAACGAAATCACATATATTCCTTTGGTATTTGTAATAAACACCAGGAGAAGGGAAGTAGCATTGTTTTATTCTGTCATGCTGCAACACCCAACACACATCCCTGGGCAGTCCTGAAGTATCTTCTGCACTACCTATAAGAAATTTATTCTTCCTGTGTACTGATCTCGCTTTGTTCATCTGACTAGGTTACGGATGTCTCTTGTGCATGCAGAGAGGTATGCACAAGCAAAGCTGGAAGGCTGAATTTCCTGGGTTTCAGTATGAATTAAAAAATCTAGAGATAATGCCTCAGTAGCTTTGCCACCATATCTTACCAATTTCTTATAACCAATGCTACATATAGCATAGAGTTACAGAAGTAAATACAATATTGGGTAAAATTACAAAGAAAAGTAAAAGTTTTCTTGCTGTCTCACCTCAAGCACTGTATTGCTTTTGACATTTTGACCAGTACCTCTAGTAGCTCTAGAAGCAGTTGAAAAATACATGAAGAAAACAAAAAAAAAAAAAATACAGCAAATTATTTTCAGTCACTACAGACCTGAATTATTTTCAAAGTGGTGATTGACTGATGACAGCTTCTGCACTCTCCTGGGTAATCAGAAATAAATCAACTGAACACCCCTGTTTTGCCTTTATTTATTTACTTATTTGGGCCAACATATTAAATAGTGTGTTTAGTAAGCATGGGGGCACTTCTGTATGGGAGACACTGGTATTCAGATGCTGATCATTCAACAGTTTACTCCAGTTCATAAAAGCGTGAGTAACAGGGAGTTTCTTCTGCAGATTTTTCTCCTATATACTTTCTGAAAAACTTGAATGTTTTCCAGAATGGCAATATGAAACTTGGTGACTTCAACTTTCACAAATTTCATAAAACCTGTGGCAAACTGACTTTGGTCTATCCCATTTGGAGTCTCACTCACAGACTTGCTGACAGTTACATGGAGGTTGGCATCTTTAAAGTAGTGTATCTGAAGGAGAAAGATCCCTGTAAACTAAGTGGTAAATGGAGTCAGGGCAAAAGTCCAGTCTGACTTCCAAAGGCTGTTCCAGTGATTTGAAGGCTGGTACTGATGAGCCTCAGTGCAAGCCACAAACACCTGCCTCTTGCCCAGGCTTTTTCTGAACACACAGAAGTTCCCTGCGGGGAAGTGGCAGCTCACGTAGGCCTTCAAGCCCTTGTGGAGGGCCTCTCGCCACAGTTCCCCTCATCTAGCACCACTCCATGCAGCTGGGGTTTTCTGGTTACCCCACAGAGGTGGTCAAACCCAGAAGAGAATTTGTCCTGAGGGTCAAAGAAGTGGTTTGGGGGTGAAGTTGTTCTTGTTGTGACAGGCTTGCAAAGCTCTTGCCTTGGGCACATCCTGGGGGTGAGAGCTATCCAGAGTGTGGGAGACCGAAGGTGAGGGGAGGGCACGCAGACTGCTTTGTGCTGGAGGGAAAAGGCACAAGATGGCGGGTGGGGTAGGGAGGAGGGGCCTGCAGATTGTGACCTCACAGTGGCAGTGGGGCACAGGGGCTGAGCAGCCTGTGCCACAAGGGCATTAGGGAAAGGGTCCCAGTGGTAACTGGAGCAAACCAGGGTGATGTCCTGCCAAACACTGCCAGTGCTACCACAGTGAAGAGACCAGATCCAGCGATACAGAGCTGCCATGGAAGAGAACAGATATCCTCCTCCTGCTCCACCTCCTCCTCCTTTTGCTCCTCTCTCCTACTCCTCCACTCCGCTCCCTGCCCTGGAGCTGCTGTCCCTGTGTAACCTCCCCGTGCAGGCCCCTTTCCTCCCAGGCCTGGGTCTGGCCTGCACACACATGGGACCCCCCAGCTGGGTGGCAGGGGAGGGCCTGTGGCAGCCAGTCCTGTCTGGTCTGGCCTGGTCCAGCCAGGGACGGTTGCAGCTGTTGAGGTGGGCACAATGCTGGGCACCCACACCTCGTTGCTGGCACTCCTCTTCCTGCATTCCCCACAGCTCCTGACTCCCCTTAGCTTCCCCACATCTGCCTCCTTTCACTGCACCCCTTTCTTGACCTTCACCACCCCTTGTTTTCCTTCACACCCTCCCCTTCTCTTTCTCTGGCCTTTTTCGTCACCTTTGCCCTCAGATTCTCTGGGCCTAGAGCAAAAATGTCTTCCTGTGTCCCTCAGAGCCTCCTGCACTATCAGATATCATAAGAGAACTACGTTCTGGAGTACGAGACAAGGAGAGCACAAGCTTTTTGGGTTTGAAAAAACCTTCTCCCCCTCCTCCCCTTACTACAAGGCAATGACACCAGCCGGAAGCTTCCTTAACCTGATCTCTCGTACATGGTTTTTGTCCATCATTCAGCATGAGTTCAGAACTGGGAAGATTGATTTAGACAGCACAATGAAGCTACTTGAAAAACTGAAAATACCTTTTGATTTCGCACATGTGAAACATGTTTTCAAGGTGAGGAATACGTAGATTAAGCAATTAAATACATTTAGAAGTCCAGGTATGTAAGTGCCTTATATTTGCTGACTTTTAAAAATTAATGTTTTGCGAAATTAATTTCATGCTACAAGGGTGTGCAAAATCAGCAAATAATTTGCCTCATCCAGGTCTTTTGTTTCCATGTAAAATAGATAACTGAATGGTTGTATTGCCCCTATGTCTTCATCACATAAAAATAGTGGATGTTGATGGATAATATGTAGGTCTAAATTCCTAACTTTTTTGTAACAAGGCCTCACTTGAGAAAAATTATTCTGGTTTCATCCCATCCAGCTGCTTCTGTGATCCAGTTAACGAGCCCAGATATACCTGTCTGATGCTGTGCAAAGCCATTAGTGTGACTTCCTGAAAATCCTTTTCCTAGAAGGACAATATATAGTTGTCTGATCTGCTAAGGCTTCAGGTCAACATAAATCCAGCACACTTGTCTCATTAATTTTTACACTATACCTCTCCTTTGTAGTATTTAAGAGGTGTGCCCAAATGGATTGGAATTGCATTCCAATCCCTGGTAAAGGTCGTCATTCTGAGATAAGGCAACATTTAAGAGATTTCTATGAAGGTTACATGATACAGCTAGAAATTGGACTTACTAATAATTTGATGTATGTAAGCAGGCTACCGTCAAGTGGATGCAGTCCCAGTAAGCAAATATTGCAAAACTTGAGTGCCTTTGGACATAGTGGGTTGACATAGTGGGTTTTCATGTTCTTAAAGTTTCCTCTAGCAATTACTCAAAAGATGTATGAATTTTCCTTTTATCTCTTCTTTTTTTTTTTTTTAAAAAAAAATAGATGCTTGTTAAAGCTGATATCCTAAGGGAATGAATCCAAGTGGGTAGATATATATGTGATTTCTTTAAGAATTTTGTAACCAGCTGGCTGTTTCTGTCCAGATTCGAAAGAGGACAATTAACTATGGCAAGTCAGAAACTTTAGATCGCATCACACTGACAGGCAGGCAGGCAGGCAGAGGGAAGGTCTTACGATTTCCTCACCCTTATCTTATTCCTTTCTCATTGTTCTCTGCCTTGTCGAGGCAAGGTAAAACTGGCAGCATGAACTTGGCCTTTGCTGGAGAGGCTGCCTGTGGTTTCTGAACTTGCACTGCATTGAGAGAATTGCCAACCTGGAGAATCTCATGAGAACTTGAAACTATTTCTCATTGTTCCCTGTATTTTCCACCTACTTTATTTTCTGACAGAAATTTGAGAGAGATGGTCAATTATGGGTAAAGAAGAGAATAATTATTTGAGGAAGTGACCTGCATAGAATAAGTCTGATCTAGTTATATTTAATATAATATACTCAGTCTGATCTAGTTATTTGTAGCAGTACTGTTAGGTATTCTTTGCTATTTGAGAGAGATTTTAGTGTTTTCAGTGGTTTTGGGGCTGAAATTTTTCATCAGTACAATAATATGTAAAAGTGCAAAGCAGTCTGGAAGGAAATCTTACTGCCACAGAATCACAGAAAAGTTTGGGTCAGAAATGACCTTAAAGATCATCTAGTTCCAACCCCCCTGTCATGGGCAAGGACACCTTCCACTAGACATCATTGTCAGTAACTACACATCAAGAACTAATTGAATGGTTGTACAGGGCAAAATCCATTTTATATAAAACATAATTTTTAAAAAATAATCTGCTTTTTGCCTGTCAGTTCTCTGAATTTATTTTGCTGTAATGCTTCTTTAAACAATATCAGAATTATGAACAATACGACTTTTCTAGAATAATACATTTTCATATAATTCCTCTTGTATTGAGTTTGTGTGGCAATTTTTTTGGTAGCGGGGGAGGGGCTACAGGGATGGCTCCTGTGAGAATCTGCTAGAAGATTCCCAGGCTCCAAGTAGGACCCATTTTTGGCCAAGGCTGAGCCAATTACTGCCCCTGTTGTTAACATATTTAAGAGGGGAAAACAAAGAGACCTGCAGAAGAAGTGGGATGTGAGAGAGACAACCAGGTAGACACCAAGGACAGTGAGGAAAAGCAGGAGGAGGTGCCCAGAGCAGAGCTTCCCCTGCAGACCGTGGGGAGAGGGCAGGCTGTGCCCCTGCAGCCATGGAGGGTCACAGGGGAGCAAAGACTCCTCTGCAGCCCAGGGAGGACCCCACACAGGAACAGGCAGCTGTGCCCAAAGGAGGCTGTGACTCTCTGGGAAGGACTCCTGAAGGACTGCACCCTGTGGGAGAGACCCACTCTGGAGCAGTTGGTGAAGAACTGCGGCCCATGGGAAGGACTCATGTTGGAGAAGTTGGTGAAGGACTGTCTCCCGTGGGAGGGACCCCACATGGCAGCAGGGGAAGGGTGTGAGGAGTCCTCTCTCCCTGAGTCGGTAGGAGTGGCAGAGACAATGTGTGATGGACTGACCACAACCCCCATTCCCTGTCCCCTTGTGCCATTGAGCAGGGAGGAGGTAGAGAAATTGGGAGCATTTCTGAGAGTAGGAAGAAGGGATGGGTGGGGGGATGGTTTTTAAGGGCTGACTTTGTCTCTCATAGTCTTGCTTTGATTGGTAAAATATTGAATTGATTTTTTCCCCAAGTCGAGTCTGTTTTGCCTGTGACCATAATAGGTGAGTGATCCCTCCCTGTCCTTGTCTTGAGCCATGAGCTTTTTGTTATATTTTCTCCTTCCATCCCACAGTGGGGCAGGAGTGATAGAGCGGCTGTGTGGTGCTTAGTTGCTAGCTGAGTCTAAACCCCACCATCTGTCAAGTCTAAGTCTTTGTCAAGATACTTCCTTTTCTGAATAGCAAAGATTTGATGTGCATGAATAAAATTAATAATAATAAAAATCTACCAAGAAAAAAATTATAAAAATTATGTCAACGTGATTTTCTTAACTTTAATTTGAAAAGCTCCCATGTGCAGCATTATTGCCTGTATTTTGACATGAGACAACTGATACATAGAAATTTTAATTTTTTACCCAGCTTCACTTTGTACCAGTACCTAAGTGAAAGTCTCCTGAGTGTTGATAGATTGCTTAATTCTAAAATAAGTTAGTATTTTCATTTTCTATTTAATAGTTATGAGTAAATTTGAAGTTTTCTTAATGATGTTAAAAATTAGATTGACGATAACAACTTTAGATGTGGGATTTCTTAAGCAGTAATGAACCGCATATTATTAGAATTTGTATTGAATAATTTTTTTTGCTGGTGATTTTTGTTAAAAAAGGTCATTAAAATTCTCTTTCACAAACTCAAAACAAATACTTAAGTATTGATTTATAAAATTTTTGGTTTATGAGAACCCATGAAACCTACTTTTGTAATTATTTTGTTTACATAATATATTCTTTTATTGTTGCACTTATTCCGACATCTCTTAGTAGGAACTGTACTGCATAGGAAGAAGCTGGTAATGTATCATTAGCCTTTTAGTGTTTATGGTCTCTCATGAAAACTAATCTAATTTAGTTGTAATCAAAAGTCTTCATGAAAAAGCAGCCAGAGCTCATAAGACATTTTATGTTTATGGACACTTTTGGGGAAGTTCTACTAATCATAGTAGGTACCATGCTATTAGATGCTGAAATTTAGCCTCTTTGGTAGTCTCAGTTTAAGGTACCAAATATCATGAATTTTGCTCAGCTTACAGTGGTAATCAATGATGTAATGAACTGCCATTTTTTTATGATTTTTGTGAGTGGTTTTGTAAGTAAATTTCCAGAATTACCCTTAATTTGGCAACTTTTAAGAGTAATACAAGCTAAACTGTTCAAAACATCTATTTTCATAAGCACAATTACATATTTCATGTAGAGAATCTTAAAGGATAAATAAAATGTTTAAGCCTGAGAAAAATGTAAATGGCAGAAATGGTAAAATAGAATTATTCTACTCAAAATCTTTTGCCCTTTTAATTTTTCTAGTGGCTTT